TGCTAAACCAAATGGAAGATTTTTTGGGATTTTTTGCACTGCACACATTTAGCCATTTATCAACACGTATCGACACATAACTACATTATCGGCTCATCTTAGAATTTCCCTCATTTAGAACGCAACTTAGCCTAACTCGCACACGTCCTAAGTTGCGTTCTAAATGAGGGAAATTCTAAGTTGTGCCGGTAATGTAGTGATGTGTCGATACGTGTTGATAAATAGCTAAATCTGTGCAGTGCAAAAAATCCCAAAAAATTTCCCATTTGGTTTAGCATCAACTTAGCCTTCTCGCATACGACCTAAATAAGAATTAGATAAATTAGGTGTTACCATTGTAAAAAATTTACAAGATGTTTAATAAATAAAAAAATTAGAAAACTTTTAACGAAAAATAATAAATAAGTGCAATAAATAAATAAATATTTTCATATGTGCAGTGCAAAAATTCCCTAGGAAATTTCAACTTACTTTACCTCAATTTATTCGAACTCGCACCCGGCCTATATATAAATCATAAACATATAACAGTGATCATGAAAAATTTTTTTAAATACATTAAAAAATATATTTTAAACTTTTAACATGAAAATTATCACTTTTATATGATGTTTTCATTATTTCATGCTTTTTTCAAGGTGTTTCTAAAAAGCAATTTTATTGTTTGCTGTTTATATTCTGCTTGTAATTTAGGACGTGTGCGAGTTAAGCTAAGTTGATGCTAAACTAAATGGGAGATTTGGCCATTTACCCATTTATCAACACGTATCGACACATCACTACATTATCGGCACAACTTCGAGTTTTCATCATTTAGAACGCAACTTAGCCTTACTCGCACACGTTCTTAATGAACCTACTATATTGGCAACAAATACTAGCTTGCAATGCCGTTTTGAACTCACTAGCAAATATGACTACAGTTGACAAACATTTTTGAATCCTTAATAATGTCTATATTATGATCGTGCGTGAGATCGAGTAAATTGAGGTAAAGTAAATTGAAATTTCCTAAGTATTTTTTGCATTGCATTTATGTAAATATTTATTCATTTATTTATTTCACTTATTAATTTAAAATTTATTTATTGAACATCTTATAAAATTTCCACACACACAATGGTAACACCTAATTTACCCTACTCGAAATTCTGGTAAATACCAGCATTTGCTGCCATTACTACATAATTAACTATTTCCCCCAATTAATTATCAATTTACTTGAACTCGCACACGACCTTAATAACCAAAACTGTTTGTTTAATGTATGTTTTGTGAAATTACGATGTGACAATGTTAATGAATTACAAAGGTATCAAGTCTGATGTTTTTTTATGAGGTCTGATTATATCTAATTTAGGGTTATAACAAACATTAATTACAAAAATATTTATAGAAATAAACTTTAAATAAGAAACGTATTTTACATGAATTTTACATATTCACTTTTTCATTTTACCAAATATCCGATTACCGGACTTGAATGCATCATAAATTTGTCATATAATAAATTTGACACATCTAGTTAAATGTTCTGTATTATCGATTTTTACTATTGTCAAATCAGCGTGCTGACTGGCAGCCATTTTGCTTTGTTACTCAATACAGAAAAGTAGAATTTTTCACTGTCGCAATATTAAGAAAAGTAGTTTGATCATAGCAAGCTTTAGAAGTCGTTAATTGAAGTTAAAACACAATTTAAAGAAATACCTCTGTAAACAAAATGGTTGAAACTGGTAAAAAGTTAAGTGAATTAAGGGTTTCTGATCTGAAACTTCAGCTTGAGAAACGGAAAATGGATACTGTTGGTGCTAAGGCCACATTAGTTGAACGTTTAGAAAAGGTATTAGTAATTATTTTCAATGTTATATATTAATATTTTAAAAGTTTTGTAATGTGTATTTTATTGCTCTTAAAACTTTAATTTATTAATATTTGCGTCAATAATAAAAATGTGAGTAAATATTTTTTTTTAAAGGCCTTAAAGCAAGAAGGCCATGATCCTCAGAAATACGTTTTTAAAAGTGGAGATAAAATAACTCCAAAATCTAAAGATAGAACTGGAACGGAAGAAATAAAAATAAAGGAAGAACCCGTTATGGATGGTTACCCAGAAGACAGTCGTGATGGATTTCAGTCTGGTAATGAAAATGGCGATGCAGATGCGAACGTTGATGACGAGATTGATCAAGTGGGAACTGTAGATGACGAGTGTGTTATCATTGAAAATGAAGATGAAGAGTCTCAATATGTTGATGATGCAGATGCTGAAGCAGACGTCGATGCTGATGCTGACGCTGATGAACAAGAAAATGAGGAAAATGAACGTGGTGAAGGTGATGAAGTGCACGAAGAAGAGGACGAAGAAGAAATTAGTGAAAATAATAATCATGACACCGAAGAATCAATTAATTTGACAATTGGCGAAGAAGAGCAACAATTATTACATGAAGTAAGTTCAAACGTACAAAAATTTATTGAAAATAAAATTATTAAACTATTTTTCATTATTAGGCTGCAGATGAAAAGGAAAAAACAGGTATGTTTATGATGCACTCCTTAATATGCGTATATATTGACTTTGATGTATATATTTCATAACTATTTGTGTTTTATACGTATTTATATATATGTTATATAATAAAATGCATATAATGCAATATGGTATAAATATGTATATAACAACCTCTAAACTCATATTCTGTGGGAAGCCAAAATTACTCGTTGCAATATTCTATTATATTGCTTCAGTAATATATAATCTCATTTAAATTGCTATTAAGATGTTAATAACATATCTTTCGATATTATAAATAATAAAATGAATAGCTGAAGCCAGCAAATCACAAAAGGATAAGAGCTCAGCTAAGGAACAACAAAATATCGACAAAGGAAAAAAAGATGAGAAAAAGGGTGGCAAAGATGAGGCTTCCAACAAAAATAAGAAAAAAGAAGAGAAGTCCATTGACAAAAAAGACACGAGGTTGGTTGAAGCGTAATTAACGAAAATAATAAAGTGCAAAGTTAATCTTTTGAGGAACATACTAAACTATTTAATTTATGAAACATACGAATTTAAGAAAACAGTAGCTGTGTCAGAAAACCCAGAAAAGTATCATACAAACAGAAATTTGTATGATGGATAGCGCAATTGCAAAATTGCTTAATTTTATTGGATATACGTTTTTTATTATGTCGACTTTGTGCTTTATTATTTTAGTCAAAAATATCTTATACCTCATGCAACACAAGCAGAAAATACTCATAAAATTTTTTTGTTTTAATTATTCATTATACAGTGAACATAAATCGTCAACAAAATCGTCACATAAGGATGAAAAAGGTAAATACGTAGAAGTTAGCAACATTCAAATAATTTCGTGTGTGTTAGTTTTGTTAATCGAAACATGAAAAAAATTTGTGGTTCGAAATTGAAAACAATTATTGTAAAATGTGCTTAAGGTAAAGAGTGTGAATTTGATTGATATGACACAGAAGGATTTCACTAAAATCAATTGCTGAAGGATTTTACAAAACTGAAGATTGCATATTTCTGAGAACTAAAGGTTACTACAACAGATGAAAAGATGGCAGCAAGAGTTATGAACATATTTATAAAGGTTGCATAAAGTAGCAAATGTGTTAACGCTGGTTTATATAAAATTGTGTATGTGCTTACAGCGTGAAATGACTTCAAAATTATAGTAGTTTAAGAGGAGTCAATCGACTGACAGCATGCAATACATATACCAGATGTACTAAGTGCAAGTACCAAATAGTAGCCGAGTGAATAATTCTAAAAGCTAGCAATACAGCATTCTTATTGGGTGGTGTAAATGCATAAGCCTTTAAATCTGTTGTACATGTGGATAGGCCCGAAGGTTATTTATACCTTTTCATCATTAGACGTTTAAGCAGCAGAAAATATCCCAAAATAACAAAACAAAATCTGAGGGATCTACTCTACTTCACTTTATATTTTCTACTTCAGTTGCAGTTACTCATAACCATTACCACACAAAATTTTTGTGTGAATAATATATCATTTAATGCTGATTATGGATATGAAAAAAGTATCCACCCATCATTTTGTGAAGAATATATAAATTTCAACAATATTTCATGGTGTGAATGGTGTGTGAACAATTCTGGATCAACAAGTAGCATAATTATGCTGCTATATTACTTAAACTGTGTTATAATATGCAGTTTACATTCTTCAGTGTGTTTTGTGGTTAAAATCATCAGTCGCTAAAACTATTGCTGATATGAAAGTTTTCTCCTAACTGTTAAGTGGATTCAACTGTATCGTTTATTCCAAGACTACAACTCGCTTATATATAATTCCGAGACTGTGGATTGGCACGCTATTGGTTTATATTGTTTGCTTGACGACCAGTAAATCTTTTTGGAACTGTCGAAAGACGTGATCAACAGAAACGAGTTTACAACTACATGGAGCCAGCCAAAAGATAGCTGAAATATGTTTTTACAGGATTAGGTCAACAATTGCTTTTATTTCTCTTTTTGAAAACATCTCCATATCATTATAGCTATCATTTCCAACGAAAATTGTGGTATGCAGACTATCAACGCACATGTGGAAATAATTAAATGGATGAATGTAAAGGTAAAATAAAACTTATTCTGTGGCTGCTATTAAATTCGGTAAAGCAATTTACAATCTTATCAACAAAGGACAGTGCTACATTATTTTTGTACGTTGCAAAATGCAACACATTTCAAAAAGTATCTAGAACGGATTAGTCGCCAACATTATTTTTGTAAAGGACAAAGCATCTATATTAAAGGGACCACATTATGTTTCTCATATAGACATATCCCGTTTCGAAGCAACGACAAACACGGAGGCAAAGCGACTGAATCACAATAGAGGACAGAGGCAGTTGTTCATATTCAAAAAAAGTTCAAATGCGGATACAACAACACATTAATTAAATAAAAAAAGTTTAATGAATACAATTATTTTTCAACATTTAATTTCTTTTTAGCTAAATATTTGCTGATATTCCAGAAAACAAATAATCATAAACATCAACGCAACCGCAGCAGTATCGTATCCACTTCTCCAGTTAGCAACTACAGTCAAATCAATAAATTCACACTCTTACTTGTGCTAAATAATATTAAATACAGTACTAATTGTTGTAATAGTGTTTAGTTTTAGGTGTATAGATTCAAACAATACAATTATGTCAAAAAAGCAGACGAGAATGTTCTAAATGCTTCAGTCTGTACAACATAAAAATAAATTTTTTAATGAAATAATATAATAATTTTCAACTTTACTCTTCCGCTATTATTTGTATGGACATTGCAGAAAAGACTACTAATGCATCAACTGTTAGCATCTCATCGAAATCCTCAAAGCCTACAGTTCCATCACGTAATTTATGGGTTTCCGGTTTATCAACATTGACACGTGCAAGTGACTTGAAAACAATTTTCTCCAAGTATGGCAAAGTAATCGGTGCAAAGGTTGTTACAAATACGCGTACACCGGGTTCCCGTTGTTACGGTTACGTTACAATGTCATCATCATCTGATGCTACTCGTTGTATCGAAAATTTGAACCGGACTGAACTGCATGGCCGCATTATATCTGTGGAACGTACAAAAAATGAAATTGGTAATACATCAAACGGAGCTAAGGACTCAGCAAAAGTTACAGGTTCGCGTTCAGCATCCAAAAAGAAAGATGACGACAAAAAAAGTTCTGCTAAAGATGGTGCCAAACCTTATGATGAAAAACGGAAACTTGGTGATACTAAAAAAGACGATAAGGACAAAGATAAGGGAAAGGATAAAAAAGATGATAAAGAAGCCAAAGATGAAAAATCAAATGACAATAAACGTTCACGTGACCCAGTTCGTTCCAAGGAAGTCGATAAAGAGCGTGAACAGCGCATACGCGAAAGGGAACGTGAACGCGAGCGCATACGTCAACGCGAAATTCTCTCTTATCAAAAGATACGCGAAGAAAGGGAACGTCAGCGTTTGCGTCAAAAGGAAAGAGAATTGCGTGAAGAGGAACGTCGTCGCCGGGAGATACGCGATCGTCAACGTCAAGAAGAAATTCGTCTAGCAGAAGAACGCAGAAAGTTGGCTCAGGAACGTGAACGTCTTGAACGAGAAAAGGCTGAGCTTATGCGTTTGGAACGTGAGCGTCAAAAGTTGGAACGTGAAAAAATTGAACTGGAACGACTTGAGCTAAAGCGCCAACAAATGAAGTATGCAAAACGCGTTAAGTGCAAAATAAATATTAAAAATGCATTGAATATACTAATTTTTACATATTTTAAATGTTTGATTTTCAAACCGATTTCAATTATCCAGTTTATATGCATTGCGCATAATTCCACACGTAACTATTTAATATAAAAAAAAATAAATAATAATTTTATACATTTAAAAATAGCATGACAAAATGTCAAATGCGAATTTCATTTTAAAATTTCCCTAATCATACTTTGAAAAAAAAAAAAAAACAAAAAAATACAAAGTAGAGAAATGTAAATTTCAAATGCGAAATTTATATTCTTTTCTTGCTACAAATTTTAACAATTTCTTTTGCTATTCTCCTTTCTTCTCTTCCGGTTATGCGACTATTGTACTGAGTATAGAATGTTACAAGCTCGTGAGGAACCCATCAAACGTCATTCGAAGCACACTAGTGATGATCGGTATGCTGAAGTTTCCGAACGTAAACGTACAACAACAAATGAAGGACGTATGGAAGCACCACCACCACCTAGGTTTGATGCCAGCTTAGTATCCTCAAGAAGGTTAGCTATTTAAACGTAATTCATATACAATCATATATATATTTGTAATTTTAAACAGTTTCGATAAGAAGCGTGATGATTATAACAGTACAGCAACATCAAAACGTTTAGATTACAGCAAACGCGATGACTACACAAGTTCTAGTTCTAAACGTAGTGCCATTGACGATTATACTGCAGTACCAGCGAAGCGTAATACCGAAGATTACGCTAATAAGCGTGGAGATTACATGACAGGGGCAAAGTCCTCTCGTGATGAATACAAGCGCGAAGTTGAAATACGTCACATTCCAAGCGGAAGCACGAATAATACATTCCATTCCAAAAGCAATAACAGTCGTTATGGAGAGAGCGATCGTAGTAATTACAGACGAACTGGCATGGAGGAGATTAGGTAAGCCATTGTTATTTTAAAAAGCAATAAAAATATTTAACACCTTCATTTTTATTATAGATCAAGTACAAACAATGTTTGGCCTGCTACTGGGCACATGAGCGGTGGTAACACTATTCCAGCTAATATGCACGGTTGGCAAAAGACCATTCATACAGATGACAATACCTGGCGCCCATCACAAGGTACACAGGATCGGTATGATCGGACATTCAATGAACGCGCTGGATACGGCAACAGTGGCGCCTTATATACTAATAGTGGACGCGCTGGTCAAGATCGATATGGACCTATCTCTCGTTATTAATTTTAAAATTAAGTATATTGGACAATTTAAATATTTATAGGATGATCCATAATTACCTAATCTCAAATAATATTTAAACCGATTTTATTCAATGTAGCGATATTGCATTACATGTATAAATAATTATACTCTTATAACAACTATCACGTAATGATAGTCAAGTAGTTTTGAATTAATGTAACGCAATGCTTAATTATGTTAGTAACAACATAATTATTTCAATAAACCATTGAGATATAAGTAATATGTATCAATTTTATTAACACCAAAAAAATTATATTCAAAAAATTAATTTTTTTTTATAGTTCGAAGAGTATTTGCACTTTCTACAATAAATTTGTAATAAAATATAATAAATATTAACATGAATTGTAAACTTCTTTGTGTATTTAATATAATTTTAGTATCAGTATTACTTCTTTTACTATTAGTATTACTTCTCTCGATGGCATAATAGTATGTCTCCAGTATCAGTTCATTGCATTTGCAAAACTCCTGATATGTCTGAATTATATTGGTTGCAATCTAAGCAAGTTCTTCTAAGGATGATATTAAAGGAGTTGTTGTGTCTACTAGTACTAAAATGCTATATGGTAAAGGATGTATGTCCTTAACTTCAACATAATAGCCTTTCTCGCACTGATCGCTTGAGGAGTAAAGTCTGAAAAGAATAAACTAATATTTTCTTATTTGTCATAAAGTATATACTAATATATAGAAAATGATTTAGCTTATGTAGGGGACAATAGTAATAGATAGCCGTAGTAGATTTATATTACGATAAAAGCCGATATTCAGCAAAAGAGTGGTGCTGTCTGTTCAGTGAAATTTCAATCAATTCAGAATAGGGAAAGCTGCAGATTTCTACTTAAATAATGTGATACCCCGTTAAGGTTTGGTAACTCGTTAAAAGGTTTTACAGTTTAGATGGGATATACTGCCCTAACCACAATATTTTCTTGGTTAGTCACATTTCAATTATTATTATTATTTCTTCCAGGTTCTATAAAATTTTTTAGCGGATAAAAATTTAATGATTTAAATCAGGAGGTGGTCATAAAAAATCTATTGAATCACTTTTTTACCACCAAAACAAGACTTTTATGAACGCAGATTCATTTTAGCGGCGGAAAGATGGTGAAAGGTGTTAGACCGGATTGGACAATATGTAATTCAATAAAGTATTTTACTATAAGAGAATCATTATTTTCATACAAACAAAAACTAAATTACTTTCTGAATAACGTTATAGAATAGTCAATGATTTAACAAATGTTGCAGGAAAATATTAAACGAATATATATGTATAAGGAAATTTGTGGGGCTGAAAAAACAATACACAATAGACTATTAAGATAGACTAAATAACATATTCAACATTAAAAGAAAGTCAAAATTTTCAAATAATTATAAGAGGAAATACAGTCAAACTTCCATAACTCGAACTTCTATAACTTGAATTTTCTATAACTCGACCTAAAAAGAGTGCATGCAAGTCTGCTTCCATAACTCGAACTTCTATAATACGAATTTCTCTATAATTCGCATAAAAATTATGTCACGTGCCAATAGGAATATGGGAAAGTGCATTCTATAAGCCCAATTTTTATTTTAAGTATAAAAGTATTTTGCTGTTAGGGGAAATCCCTTTTTCCAAACCCAATATTTAAATTTTTCTTTCTTATGTTGCTTTTTTGTGCAAATGCCAGTCGCTGACAGCGTGATTTAAAATAAATAAAATGCCAATGCTACTCTTAACGATTATATTGAGCTTGACAATGAAATTTTTACATCAAGTTTTCCCACAGATGACGAAATTATTGAGCATTATAGCTTTGAATTAGTGGATCCGATTCTAAACAAAACGGAAAGTGATGATGAGATGAGGGTTCGGTGGATGAAATTGTTCATCAGCCTTTCAAGAATGAAGTAGAAGACTCATTCAAAATTCTGAATTTTTATTTACAAACGAATGATACTCCAATTGATGATCACTATAAGAGTATGAATAAAGTGGAATCTCTTTTTATTAAAAATAAGAAAAAAATTAAAGTCCCCAACTCCAATTTCTGAATATTTTACTTCACTATAACTTCTGTGCTTTATTTGATTGCAAATAAATAAATATCTTAAAATGTAATTCTAGTTTCTTCCAAAAATAAAAAATATATAAAAAAATTCTCTAACTCGAAGTCTCCATAAGTCGAACTTTTTCTTTGCTAAATTGGACTTCGAGGTATGAAAGTATGACTGTCTATGAAAATCTATTATTAAGCATCAAGAAACAAACATATTCGAAAGAATTTTCTAAAAGTAATTACCGATCTACTAAAAGGCTACCCTATTCAACGAATTTTTCTATTTACAAAATGGACTGTGCAAGGAATCTTTTGTTAAATTGACAATTTTCAATTTGGTTTCAGGGAAGACTTCTCCACAGAATTACAACTGGTGCGAACAGCTCAGATGATACAGTCTACCCTGAGCAGAAGGGAATCAACGAGTATGATTACTTTTGACATCGCCAAGGCATTTGACAAGGTCTGGCACGACGGCCTTAAAGTTATAGCTTCCTTCGCGAGAGAATGTTCCGTGTAAGAATCAACAGTACCACCTCTTCAGTATGAAGAATAGCAGCGGGTGTTCCTCAAAGATCCCCGCTCTCTCCCTTGTTGTACAACATCTACACGTCTGACATCCCAATGCTAAGTCCTTCTGTATTATCATTATACGCAGATGACACATGCTTCTGATAAAGTTGCCAGAAATGTGACCAACATGCTGCAGGAGCATATTAATCTCATCCTGAGGTTCATCCAGAAATGGAAAATAAAAATTAACAATGAGAAAACAAAAGCCCTGTTTATTACATGTAAACACAGGCAACATCCACCGAGAGTAAGAGTTGGTGACATCGTGATTAATTGAGAGGATTGCATTAAATACTTAGGTATCACGTTTGATAAGCGGTTCACTTGGCATAAGCATATACAAGTCAAAAGAAGCAGTTGCGCTATAACACTGCAATGCTTACAACCACTTTTCAAACACAACAACCTTAACGTGAAGAACAGAAAACTGATCTATAGCCACATAATTAGACTAGCATTACTTTATGGGTGCGTCGCGTATAGCAAAGCTGCCGACTCTACTATACAAAAGCTATAAGTCGCTCAAAGGCTCTCTCTTCAAAGTGCCTTGGTACCAGTGGCGTAACTACAGGGAAGCAACTGGAAGCAACGCTTTCGGGCCCCCGAATTTAGGGGGCCCCACTATAAATGTTTGTAAACGTTTTTTATTGGAATAACTTCATATTGCATTTTATAAAAGATACGTAAGTTATAAATTTAAAGTACATAATATGTATGTACTTCAAATAAAATATTAAACCTAAATATAAAATAAAAAAGTTTTTCTAAGAAAAGTATGTGTCTTAATCGAGAGACACATACTATATCTAGATTTAAACCCATTTGAAAATAATTTTGTACATTGTCTTTTGCAAATATTAGTACTGTATACACCAAATTCTATTTAAACACCTTTATTAAAAACGGAGAAACCTCATATCCGATTGTTAAGTTTATATCACAGCTACAAGACGTCCAATTTCAATCAAATCAAATGGTGAATAGGGTCGGCTAAAAGTATGTGTGCAAAGTTTCATTCGAAGGGTTCAAAAGCTGAGAGAGTAGTTTGAACTGAAAAAGTATATATATACTGTACTGATATATACTTAATGGTATTTCCGACGTTTCCTTTAATGTGTCACGAAAATCTTGACAAACCTTATATACCCTTTTCACATTTTTCGTATAAAGAGTATAAAAAGAGGGGCCCCTTAGTATGTTGATAGGGGCCCCTTAGTTAGAATTTGCTTACAGGCCTAAAAAATGTAGTTACGCCACTG